ATTTGGAACTCCAGACCTTTTTTATTTTATTTATTTATTTTGGGTCTGGTGTGGAGCCTGAACTCTGGGACTGGGCACTGTCCCTCAGCTCTTCAGCTCAAGGCTAGTGCTCTACCACTTGAGCCACAGCGCCACTTCCGGCTTTTTTCTTTTTGCTTATGTGGTGCTGAGGAATCGAACCCAGGGCCTCAGGCATGCAAGGCAAGCACTCTACCACTGAGCCACCTTCCCAGCCCCAAGGAACTCCAGACCTTTATCTCCAGGCCTTTTCAATGCATCTTTAGGCATTCTACCAATTGAGAATTCACTTTATGGAGGAAAATTTAGGGAATGCTATTTCTTCATATTTTTGTTTTCATTGCTGGGTCTTATTTTTTTCTTCAAGACCTTATGGACTTAGTAGTGCTATAATAATTTGTAGCATCTCAGGTTATCTTTGTAGTTGGCCATATCTTTAAATAATGGTAGATTTGTTTCTTTGTAATTTTTCCATTTTCTTTTGCTCAGGGCTAGTGCTCTACCACTTTGAGCCATAGTGCCACTTCTAGCTTCCAGGTGATTCAAAATAAGAGTCTTATGGACTTTACTGCCAAGAATGGCTTTGAAGTGCGATCCTCAGATCTCAGCCTCCTGAGTAGTTGGGATTACATGCATGTGCCACCAGTGCCTGGCTTATTTGGGCTACTTGAATCAGTGAATTGGTATATTTTTATCCTTTCTGAAGTTTTCTCAGACTTTATCTCTTCAGGTATCACCTTTGCACTATTGTTCCCTCTTCTAGGACATCAGTGTAAATAAAATATTCTCACTTTTCCTTCTCTGTATTTTCTCATTTCCTTCTCTGTGTTGTTTTCTGGATAAACTTAAGTATTCCCTTTTCCAAATTTACCCTTCTCTTCTGTGTGAGTTGCTGTTAAACCTGGGTTCTTAATTTTGGCAATTCCATTTTCCAGTTCCAGAAATTCTGTTTATTCCTTCTTAGTTTTGCTGTCCTTTTAGTGTTTCCTGTTTCTTGCAGGTTTTTTCAGTCTTGTCTTTTATTTCTTCAAACTTTTATAGTTTGTGTCATAATTTAGAATGAAGTCTTTGGTCTGAGTCATTTTGTATCCAATTAGGAAAACAGAAATTACTTAGCTGTTTCCAGTGGGGAAGGGTTTAATGATAGCAAAGATGCTGGAAGGGTTAGGAAGCAGGGCACAACTGATGTTTCCTGAAGTCTTGGTAGCCATTGTGTGTAGTTGCCTGCTTTGTGCCTGGATTTGCTTTGTCACTTAATTTTCCACAAGTGCTTCTCTTTGGAGCAATCTAACAAGACTCTAGTCAGCAAGAAGTAGTTTTCAGGCCGCTGATCCTCTGCAGCAGAGGCAGAAAAGAGCTGAATCCCGGAGACAAATTGGAACTGGGTGTAGACCATCTGTTGTTTTTGCTGTTGGTTTTTATTCCTAGAGTCTTGTTTGTCCTTTTATGCTTGGTTATTTTTGAGTTCTGGCATTACAGAATTACTTGGAATAATTTGACATGTAAGACTTTTCATGTGTTTGTCATACTCCTGGGAGTTCTACCTTAATGCAAACTTAGCCATTTCCTAGAGAAGCTAACTGGTGCAGAGAGATTCGTGCAAAAGCTTGCGTATTTTCTCTTTACCTATACCCTGGGAAGCTGGGATTTCCTAGACCCACAAGGCTGCCAAAAGTGCAATACAACTTTGTGGTTCTATTCTCAGGCTGGGAAGGTACCTGTTAGAAGCTGTTTTGAATGCCTTGATCTACTTGAGTTATTGCACTTCCATAGATTTCAGCCTATTTCTTTTCTTTTTTGTGCTGTTACTGGGATTTGAACTGAGAACCTTGTGTTCTTGCTTGGCTTTTTCATTCATGGTTTATGCATAGCCTCTTGACCCATACTCCCATTCTGGTTAATTGGAGATAGTCTCTTATGCTCTTCTATCCAGCTATTTAAACCATGATACCCAGATTTCAGCCTCCTGAATAGCCAGGATTACAAGTATGAGCCACCTATGACCAGCTTTCATCCTACTTAGTTCTTCAATACTTTCAAGAATATATATGTGAGAGCCAGGCACCAGTGGCTCACACCTGTAATCCTAGCTACTCAGGAGGCTGAGATCTGAGGATTGTGGTTTGAAGCCAGCCTGGGATGGGAAGTCTCTGAGACTCTTACCTCCAATAAACTACTCAGAAAAAGCTGGAAGTGCGCTGTGACTCAAGTGGTAGAGGGCTAGCTAGCCTTGAGCAAAAAAAGCAGCTCAGGGACAGCACCCAGGTCTTGAGGTTAAACCCCAGGACTGGCAAAAAAAAAAAAAAAAGGTGATATAAAGGGGTTACATAAGTGAAATAGAAAGTACATTTCATAATGCCACCTCTTCCTTTCCTCTCTCCCAGTTTTCTCTCTTGACCCCACCCATGAGTTCTATAATTTATTTTCATCAACATTGTTTTGATTTACATTTCCTTTTATGGCCAGAGATGTTGAGTATTTTCTCAGGTGTTTATTGCTGCTACTTCTGAGCAGTCTTTATTTAGCTCCTTTGCCCACTTATCAACTGAATTATTGATTTTGTTGGGGTTAATTTCTTGAGCTCCTTGTAGATATTCTGGATATTAGGTTCTTATCTGATGTGTAGTTGGTAATGATCTGTTCTATAGGCTTCCTTTTTAGCTTAATAATTATGTCTTTAGCTGTCTAGAAACTTTTCTTTGTTGATTCTCCAATTTGATGAGCTCCTGGAACTGTACTCAGAAAGTGACTATCTGTTACAAGTTTTTTTGTTTTTGTTTTTTGTTGGTCATGGAGCTTGAACTCAGGGCCTGGGGACTGCTTCTGAGCTCTTTTGTTCCAGGCTAGTGTTCTACCACTTTGAGCCACCGTGCCACTTCTGATTTTTGAGTGGTTAATTGATGATATGAGTCTACCTTTGAACCCCATCCTCAGATCTTAGCCTCTCCCGAGTAGCTACAATTACAGGCTTGAGCCACTCCCCCACAACAGTAAGTTTTAATGTTTCCCCTATTCCATCCTAGTTTCAGTGATTCAGGCCTGACATTGAGGTCTTTGATCCATTTTGAGTTGATATTAGTGCAAGGTGTGACAGACATGGTCAAATTATAGTCTTCTTCATACGATGTCCAGTGTTCTCAGCACATTTTTTTAAAGAGGTTGTCTTTTTCTCAACATACAGGTTTGGCTTCCTTGTCAAATATTAGTTGGCTGTAAGTATATGGGTTTGTTTCTGGATCTTCCAGTTTATTCCATTGGTTTTCAGGGATTTTTGTGTCACTACCAAGCTGTTTTTGTTATTACAGTTCTGTAGTAAAGTTTAAGATCTGGAATTGTGATACCTCCAGCATTGCCTTTTTGGCCTGATTTGCTTTAGCTACTCAGGGCCTTTTGTGAATCTGTGTGAATTTTTGAATTGTCTCTTGGCAATGGTAGGGCTTAAAACTCAGTGCCTGGGCATTGTTCCTGAGCTCTTTTTGCTCTAGGGTAGTGTTCTGCCACTTTAAGCCACAGTGCCACTTCTGGTTTTTTGGTAGTTAAATGGAGATAAAAGTCTCAGACTTTCCTGTCATGCCTGGCTTTGAACTGTGATCCTCAGATCTCAGCCTCCTGAGTAGCTGGGATTGCAGGTATGAGCCACCAGCTCCCTGCTTGCCTCTTGCATTTTGATATAGGCTGCTGCCCTGTCTTTTGATTGGAGAGTTGAGCTATTGATGTTTAACATTACTATTGAGATAAATATATTGTGTTTCCTGCTATTTGTTGTTTTCATGGTGCTTGCTTCTTTCCTTTGTTTTACTAGTCTAATACTCTAGTAATGTTTATTCATTATATTTTTCTGATCTTGATTATCTTCTTCTAAGGATAGGATTCCCTTCAGTGTCCTTTGTAGTGCTGGTTTAGTGGACATGAATTCCCTTAGTTTTTGTTTATCATGGAAGGTTTTTGTTTCTCTGTCAATTGTGAATGGTAGCTTCACTGGATACACTAGTCTTTGTTGACAGTTGTCCTTCAGATCTAGAATTATATCTTCTCAGACTCTCCTTGCATTTAGAGTTCGTTTTAAGAAATCTGCAATTATTCTAATGGTCTTCCAGTTGTGAGTTCCCTCTTTGTTTTTGCTGCCTTCAATATTAATTACTTATTTTGTATATCCAGTACTTTAACAACAGTGTATCTAGGAGTGTTCTCTGATCTTGTCTGCTTGAAGTTCCATATAGCTCCATCAGATGGGTAAAATTCTTGAGGTCGGGGAAACTTTCTGCTGTTACTTTGTTTAATAGAGTCTCAGTGCTTTTAGTTTTTATTTCTTCTCCCTCATCTATTTCCATTATACATAGATTTGTGTTTTCTGTGTTTTTGTTTGCTTGTTTTTTGATAGAGTCCTTCAATTCTTGTATGCCCCCTTGGTATCTTCTGAGTGCTTTTTCAGTGCCTTTGATGATTTCATCTAATTTCTTTGCTTTATCTTCAACTTCTGATACCCTATTTTCAACTTCTTTTGTTTTATTGCCCAGACTATTAGGGTGATTGGGCTCTTCATCCTTCCCATCTCTTTATGGAGTTCCTCTCATCTCCTTCTTTAGTTCATTTAGCTGTCCTTCTTTTCTTTTTTCTTTTTTTCATTGAATTTCTCTTGGAATTAATTTAGTTTCTTGAAGATCTGCTCTTTTATTTCAACAGTCATTTCTCTCACTTTTTTTTTTTTTGTAGATTGTGGGGCTTGAACTCTAGACCTGAACTCTTTAGCTCAGGGTGAGCGCTCTACCACTTGAGCCACAACTCCACTTCCGACACTGTTATTTTAATGGGTGCATTGTTTGGTTTTTCATCTTTTTTTTTAATTTAATTTTATTTTATTTGTGAACATACTGTACAGAGGGGTTACAATTGCATGGGCAGGATAATGCGTACATTTCTTA